ACTTGAGAAAGCATCACTATCCCAAGTGACCACATATGAACCACCCTTCTTCTTCTTAAAGGTCATCTTGTCCTTCTCTTTCTTTTCCTTCTTGTCATTTTTCTTGTTCTTCTTCTTGTCATCATCATTGTCGCTATTGTATGGACATTGAGCAACAAGATGATCTTTGCTTCCACACTTAAAGCACCTTCTTGACTCTTATTTGTTCTTGGATGAAGACTTCTTTCTTCTAGCACGGTAACCCTTCTTCACCATGAACTTGCCAAATCTCTTGACAAAGAGAGCCATCTTCTCATCATCATCATCATCCTATGAATCATCTTCTTCACTAGATGTTTCTTACTTAGCTTTGCCCTTGGATGATGTGGCCTTGAATGCCACTCTTCTTCTTCTCATCCTTCTTCTCATCTTTCTTCTTCTTCTTTTCTTCCTTCTCATCTTTATCTCTATATGTATCATCGGTCATGATGTCTCCCAACATTTGGTTTGGTGTCATGGTGCCCAAACCACTCCTTACTAGAATAGTGACCAATGTGCCAAATCTTGAAGGTAAGCATCTTAAGAACTTGTGAGAGAAGTCATTGTCCTTTACCTCTTCTCCAAGTGCTTTGATATCATTGACAAGCACTTAAAGCCTATGAAACATCTCCAGAACACTCTCATCCTCCATCTTGAAACTTGTAAATTTCTCTTTGAGAATGTATGCCTTTGCACCCTTCACGGCTTGAGTGCCCTCAAATGATTCTTCTAACTTCTTCCGTGCCTCATGAGCTCTCTCAATGTTCTTGATTTGCTCAAATGTTCTTTCATTCAAAGCATCATGGATGACACTAAGAGCAATATCATTATTTTGGAGTAGTATTTCTTCAATGGCGGTGGGAGTCTCTTCATCTTCAATCTCAATCTTTGTCTCTACTACCTTCCAAACCTTCCTATTGATTGACTTGATATAAGTTGTCATCTTAGCCTTCCAATAGGGATAGTTGGAGCCATCAAATTGGGGTGGCTTCTTTGTGTTGTTGATTTGAGCCATTTTTACACCGAAGATTGTTAAGACTCAAATCACAGTGACCTCGGCTCCGATACCACTTGAAAGGTCCTAAAGACTAGAGGGGAGGTGAATAGCCTAATAAAAATTTCTACAACAACACTTAACAAAATGGTTAGACAATTATGAGGCGAAGCAAGAGTTGCGCTAGCCTACTCGAAATGCAAGCCACCTACCACAACTCTAGTTTAGATAATATCTATTCACACAATAGCTATGGCACTTCCCTATGTTAGTGTGCTCTCAAAGGCTAACTAAAGAGCCACATCAACCAACCAAGCAAGCTCTCACAACTAGTTACACTAAATAGCTTGACAACTAGTTTGCGGTAATGTAAAGAGAGTAATCAAGAAAGTTATACCACCGTGTAGATGAAGGAACCAATCAATCACAAGGATAAATAACGATGAAGATCAATCACCTCGGAATCAATGATGAACACAATGATTTTTTATCGAGGTTCACTTGCTTGCTGACAAGCTAGTCCTCGTTGTGGCGATTCACTCACTTGGAGGTTCACGCGCTAATTGGCTTCACACGCCATACCCTCAATAGGGTGCCGCACAACCAACACAAGATGAGGATCTCACAAGCCACGAGCAATCCACTAGAGTACCTTTTGGCGCTCCACCGGGGAAAGATCAAGAACCCCTCACAATCACCACGATCGGAGCCGGAGACAATCACCACCCTCCACTCGACGATCCTCGTTGCTCCAAGCCGTTTAGGTGGCAGCAACCACCAAGAGTAACAAGCGAATCCCGTAGCGAAACACGAACACCAAGTGCCACTAGATGCAAACACTCAAGCAATGCACTTTGATTCTCTCCCAATCTCACAAAGATGATGAATCAATGATGGAGATGAGTGGGAGGGCTTTAGCTAAGCTCACAAGGTTGCTATGTCAATGCAAATGGCTAAGAGCGTGAGCTTGAGCCGGCCATGGGGCTTAAATAGAAGCCCCCACGAAATAGAGCCGTTATACCCCTTCACTGGGCACAGCGCTGGGTGACCGGACGCTCCGGTCCGATCGACCGGACGTAGGCCCTCAGCGTCCGGTCATGTGATACACGCCACGTGTCCCCTGCTTCAAATACTGTTCATCAGATTTCAACAGTCATCTCCTGATCGGACACTGCGCACAAACTGATCGGACGCTCAGCCTCCAGCGTCCGGTCGTTTCCAATAAGGTTCCAGAAATGAATTTCTTCGACCGGACGCGTCCAATCATGCTTGACCGGACCCTGCCAGCGTCCGGTCAGTTACCCTGACCACTGTGCTGCCACGTCAGCTGGGACCAGACGTAGCCTTTCAGCGTCCGGTTAGTCCGAGACCCAGCGTCCGGTCGTTTGACCAAAGCTGGCGTCTACGCTGTCACGTTTGACCGGACGTGCCGGTCCTTCTGTGATCAACGTCCGGACACCTTGTGACCAGCGTGACTAACTCTTTTTCACCTCTAACTTCTTCACCCTTGCTCAAATGTGCTAACCACCAAGTGTATCACCTTGTGCACATGCGTTAGCATATTTCTTAAACATTTTCAAGGGCGTTAGCATTCCACTAGATCCTAAATGCATATGCAATGAGTTAGAGCATCTAGTGGCACTTTGATAACGCCATTTCGATACGAGTTTCACCCCTCTTAATAGTACGGCTATCAAACCTAAATGTGATCACACTCTCTAAGTGTCTTGATCACCAAAAAAAATAGCTCATACAAAATATACCTTTGCTTTGAGCTTTTTATTTTTCTCTTTCTTCTTTCCAAGTCGAAGCACTTGATCATCACCATGCCATCATCATCATCATGCTATGATCTTCATTTACTTCACCACTTGGACTGTGCTAGCTATCTCATGATCACTTGATAAACTAGGTTAGCACTTAGGGTTTCATCTATTCACCAAAACCAAACTAGAGCTTTCAACCATAGAAACTACAACTTTGAATTAATTACATGAAAGCATAGATCTAAAGCTCTAGCAAAAACTTTGTACTAAAGCATACCATATTATATATTCACTGTGTAGATCTACTCATGTGGAATCCAAAAAAATTGAATTTTCCATTTTATGATTTTTCTATGATTTACTATGATTTTTCAAACATTCAGCCAAAATAAATAAAAAAGAAAAGGATAAAACCACCTTTGAAAACCACCTATAGCCGGGTCAGGAGGTAAAATAAACGGTTTTAAAAGTTGATGGAGGTGGTTTACCCGGTTTTAAAGTTCAGAGAGGAAAACTGACTTTGAGGATAGTTTAGGGAAGTAAAATAGACTTTTTTCTGCTGAAGAACGCATGGTCCATCCTTAGACGCAACTTATAAAACAGCCCAACTGAAAATCGCTGAAAAGCGCATGGCCCATCTTGAAACATGAAAGTCCACACCAGCTGCAGGAACTTGCAGCCCATCTGCTGAAATTTAATTTTTTCTCAAAAAAAAAACAATCTGCTGAAATTTAGTGCATGTTTGGTTGGAGCTTGGGGAAAGTTGTCTAACCAAATCAGATGTCTGAGATTATTGTCTTTACCAAACAACTTTCTCAAGGTCTGAACCAAATAGACCCTCACAAGACATATAGGTCATTATTATCTAAAAAAAGCACATATAGGCAGGAGCAGAGCTCAGTGGAGACAATACTGGGCTTTGGCCCTGTTTGCCCGCGACCAAACTTTGAAGACAAGAAAAGCCTTAGACTCTGCTAAAAAAAAGCCTTAGACATTAGGAGTCAATGAGTGATAAGTGATCTATTTTATCACTTTTGTACTCAGTTCTCTGAGTGCGACAATCATATCACCGTTGAGCAAAACTTACTCCCTTCTGAAGTTGATTAGATTTGTAAAAAATATTAACAATACTTGTATCTTCAGATAATTTATTATAAAAATAGATTTAACGATATATCTAATAGTACTAATTATGCACTATAAATTATAAATATTTTGATCAAAGTTAAAAGAGTTCGACTTCCCAAAAAATAAGAACGACATTTATTTTGAGACAGTGAGTAGACCACGAGAAACCATGACATCTCACTTGTTGTCAGACGCCACCTGAGAGGATGACACCTATATTATATTAGTTCTAAAACTCACATGTCATAGTGCTTCCTATGGAAATGGGACCCTTGCATTCATACCACTATTTTTTATCGAAATTATAGCCTTGCCCCTATTTTTTTTAACTTTATGAATTTACTCCTACATTTTCAGAACGGCACCATATCATGCCCTCTTAGCGTAATGATATGGGGGTAACCATATCTAAATCATATATGTGGTAATCCGAGCACTCCTTATGTAGCCAACTAAACACATTAGTTACACCAAACAAACCGCATGATGCACGACCTGATGAACGAACTAGCAGCTTACACGAGCAGAGATCGTGTATGCTCAGACCCTGAGCCCAGGCAACAATTGACTGTAGTACAATTTCGTGTACTGTAGCATAAGCCATAACATATCGCAGGATCATTACATTTGTACAGTTATCAAAAAATACATTACAGCGTGACCCTGCTCAAAAGCAGCCACAGCCTCATAATTTACAGAGTCCTCCACGGTCACAAACAATGTAGTCACACCCTTCAATGTTAGATTTTATAAGTCTATGTAACGATGCATTCTTTTTCTTTTCTTTTTTCAAGAAATCTATAGGCACAGAGACATCTGAATATACAACATGAACGTAGCTACTAGTTAACCTACAACGATTCAATCTATACCAGTCAGAAGCTTCATCACACTTTGATTGAGATTCGAGATACCTTCCACACATCCACAGATGGGCTTTCATTGAAATTCAAGTTACCTTCCTCACATCCACAGATGGCACCCAAGTTCAATTCACTGTAACTAGTTGGCTTGTAACCTCCTTCAAGAACCAAATAAGACTAATTCACAATAGTCAGCTATGACCACTGTACTTAGCATAAGCAAACACAACTCTAGTCTTCAGGTTCAGCTGAGAAATCTGGCTCATCTGGCTTCGTTAGCTTAGGCAACTCTTTCATGTTTTTAGGCACTTTTCTAGTCCTAGCTATGAATTTTTGAGCAAGACTATTCTTGGGCAGAGAATCGTCTTCTTCATTATCCACTTCATCTAATCTAATGGAATTGAACGACTCCCTCATACTCAGGTCCTTTGCCATCTTCCTCCTCTTGTACCGTCTCCAAGCAGCTTGGATGAAGCATGATGCCCATGTTCTCCAGTGGTGCGAGTAATACCGGAAAGTGTGTTGCAACTTCTTGCTGTGCAGCCGCCTGAACTGGCTGGCAACAAACTTGAGATCCTCGGCCTGGAGTGCAAAGGCCTCCACTTCTATCAGTGCCTTCACTGTCCGAGTGGATGATGGCAAGTTTGTAGTAGGCCTGGGGACAAGAGCCCATCCAAGAAGTTCCTCACCACAAAAATCACCAGGTTTCAGGGTAATTGAATTGAAGAAGCCAGTGCGGCCACCATTTGTTGTGGAGCTTTCCAATTTTCCACGGATGATGAAGAGCATCTCAGTCACTGGATCGCCTTCACGGACAATGTATGTGCCTTTTGTGCACAGTGATGATACAAGACGCTCACAGATGGCATCAAGAAGTTGATCATCCATCTGGGAGAAAAATGGAACCTGCAGCAATGCGATACGAAGCAACATTACCATACAATTATGTAGAAAGCAATAGTATAGTGCAACTGTACCAGGAAGGAAAGGGTATGTATTTGGATTGCTATAAAATATGAGTGCGGATTGTCAGCAACATTAGAGTGGTGTACTTGAAAGAGATTTCTTTTTTATAATGAAACTAGGGCCATAACACCCATTGTACCACAACATTTCTTAGCTACAAGTGTATCCTAGAAATGAGAAGCAAATCACCTAAATTTTCTCTCGCGACACTGGAACTATGATGCTCACTTCTGACATAAAAAAGATACCACATAAATTCATGGTTACTATGGTGATAGACAAGTTTGGTATATGCAGAAATGAAGTGGTGGTAACCATCATCCATAAGACAAGCATAGAAGTTTCAAATACATTGACAAAGGCATGTAAAAGCATTTACCCGTCGAACAAGACCCAGGCAAAGGTGGCGCTTAATGTCACGTCGAAGGTCTGCAGGCAGAGCTTGCAATATTGACTCTTCGTTCACACCCCTAGTTGCAAGCCACTTGTACTGGATAAATCGTCTCACCCTTTCCCTCAGTTCAGAAGGAAGTTGACGATGTCTCATCCATTCCTCAGTATCTCTTTGCTTTAATCTCCATTCCTCAACCCTCACAGTAATAGATTGCAGGTAGGTCTTGACAATAATCATCACGTTGTAAGATAGAAAATTCCAAAATAGGTTCAAATTAATACATTTTTCAAAATGATTATTAACGTTCACGTACAAAAAATGTTTACAACACAAAGCATGCAGTTAAGTGGATAAAAAGTACCTGCACATTTCCAATCAAATGCGCAAACAAGACAAGACCAAGTACCGCCAAGAATATACAATACAGTGTCTCACCAAGATAGGTACTCACACTAAGAGTCTGACCGTAGCAGCTGTTCGAAAATGAAAGCAATATATAGCGCGTTAGCAAAAACACATATAAAGTTATTAACTTAGAATTGGTAAAGTAAAAAAACATGAGAACAAAGACACACTAAAGAACTACTGAATCAGGTAGAACTTTCAAAGCTTAAACATGAACTTGCAATTGCAAATTGAAGAGTAAGATCCTAACATTTTGTTGAACACATGACAATATGTTGTTCTTGTCAAGGTCCCCAACCCATACAGTGGTGTCAAACAACATTTGGTTTATGCAAGGAACATGTAAAATAAGTTTCCATCTGGCACTCTAATTTGAACCATAATTATGAAAATGACTGCTAAGGACATACCTTAAATTCTGCAACCCCCACCAGAGGGAATAGAAATACTTCATTGCAAAACTTTGAGCAGGGGCTTGATTAGACAATGCAGGCCCAAACATACCAAAATCAAAACTAATAGTGTTATCGCTAGCATTACATTGACTGAAGACAGCAGTTGTATTCGCCCAAGTAGCATTAAGTGTCGTGTCACAATCTAGGTACTTAATATGACAATCAGTTTCACTCAAGCAACTCGTCTTCCAGCAGAATGTCTGGCGATCAACAGATAGCAGATACCATAGTGCACCTAGAACCTGAAAGAACAACGAAGAGGAACAAGAGATGAACAGTTGCATCACATCTAACAATTAGCTACAACAAGATACGGAATGATGAAACCACTTAAGTGCATATGAGTATCATACATGACTAGCTATCAGATAGAGCACCATGTTGTATGCAGCCCCTTCCCAAGCGGTCTTTGCGACAACTCCAGTAGCTTTGACAATTTCATAAGTTAAGGGGAATATCAGGTACAATCTTGGAAGATACTGAGCAAGAACTATGAGCACCAAAATGTTATTGTTGTGCTCAGCAGAGGAATACTTTATGGCTGGTATCACAAACCAAACAATAATCTGCACAAAAAGTGGAAGATGTGTAAATTAAAGGTACAGTCCAAACTGGAAACAGATAAAAACGATAAGAGGGTTACATGCCAACGTTTTTGTATCGGGTTTCATGTCCATATGAATGGCTGTGTGTTTTACATTGGTTCGCCAAGCACTGTCCGGATCCTCTACCTTCATCAGGACTTGGGGGACCATCATTTTTAAACAACACAGGCAGAGTTCCCAAAGAGAACACAGAGAAATGGTTTTCTCCTTTAATATTTTGGCCTTTAAGGCTTGTATAGCTGAATAAAAATGAACTAGGACAAACTACGTATTTTAACTAAAAGTGGCAGGGGCAATGCCATTCATTAAAAGAGAGCAGAAAAGGAGGCTCTAGGCTTTCAGTAGACAGATGTTGTGCGCACAATAGGAGTTTCATATTTAAAAGCCAATTGTAGTAACTAGTAAGCTCATCAACTGACAAACTAACATGAAAGTGATATTTGAACGGTGTTCAGTACTGGAACACGAAAAGATATGAAGCAATAGGAAGTTAAAGTTTAGCTAAAGTACAGACGGGGCATACAATGATATGTGTTTGGCAATGATGCAACAACGATACTAGTCAAACCGTATTGGAATGGATGTAGTTACCTGTTTCCAAAAGAAATAATGCATGTATCTATAATTTTTATAGCAAACCAGAAGTGCATTGGATGAATGTTTATCTCTTATAAGCTCCAAAAATATCTAAGAGTGTCACTTAAATCCCATTTTTGAAAAATGAAGTTCGCTGTAAACCACAGTTGAATATGGCGCCTATTTAGCCAGAGTAATCTTTTATGGAATGCCTTCTTTTCAGATAATGAGGCTAGGATGGTAGAACCTGGAAATAATTGTAATTATATTGTCTTAAGTGTTACCTGAGCAGCATTAACAAATATCTATAACAAGTTCTTTAAGAGTTAAAGGGGGGCCGTTTGCATTGCATCAGAACAGCATAGAGTTATTACAATCCCAGGTTCAAGTTTAACATATATCTATACCTAGAATTATTAGCATATTTAGCATATTATCTGAATTGCAACTGCCCGGTGAGCTTTAGTAGTTTGGTTGTATCCAGACAATAATTGCCTAAAATAAGATCAAGAATAGCGAATACTCATGACAAACCAGCTTATCAGCAAGGATCATAAGTAGTATAGTATAATTAACAAGAACAAAAACCAATAGAAGCACCAAGTTACCTGTGGCAAAGGCAATGCAGCCGCCACATCAACAGCTAAGTCAGATCTGATATATTTGCACGCAATTTCCTTGGGATCTGTGACAAGGTCTCCTCTTCCAAACACCCTCAGAGTCGAGCTCGGGTTGATATATGCTGTTCTGAACTTTATTATGATGTGCAAGACACACAATAAATCGGCAATCGATCTGAAGAATGTAACACCGACGGCGAAACGGGTGTCTGTTCCCACACATAATTTGGGGCTGGCGTAGCTGATCTTCGGCACATAGAAGTAGAGGGGGTCTATAAATAGCGCGACGAAGCAGGAGAAGAGGAAGATGCGATTCCATTTCAAGATGAAGTCGCTTGACGGGTCAAAAATCTTGTTGTACCACTGCTCATCGCTGGCGACAAAGGCCCTGTGCTTCTTCGAGGTCCCCACGCTTAGCTTGCTAGCAGCCAGCCCCGCCTGCTTCTGGTGAATCGGTATGGCTGGCCTCATTGGCGATGGCCCCGGCGCATCAGCTGCTGACCCCCGAAAAATCCTGGAGACTACTCTGGTGCTGCTGCTCCACCACGCAGCGAACAAATCGCAGTCCATCGACGACTTGGAAATTGATTGCTGGAAAGCGTAGAAACGGAAGACCAGGGCGGAACTAGCCCTCGGAGAAATCCATCGGAGCGAGCTTCCTTACCAGCAAAGAGGAGAAATACATCCGAGCCCCGTGTGGATCTGCACTTCCGTGAGGAGGACGAAGGCCGCCGCGGCGACGGTGGAGGAGGACGAGCGAGGGGACGGAGCGCGAGAGAGCAACTGGCCGCGACGTGCTCCGGCGGAAGGAGCGTGGCGATGCGCAAGCGGCGCGCGGCCAGGCGAAGAACGGCTTCGCTTGACGGCGCTCGTGGAGGGCGCCGGGAGGCCGGGACGAGTACCGGGCCGCCGGCGACGTGCCGGGGACCAGCGAGGCGAATCCGGGATCAGGAGGAGGCAGGGGCGAGGTGGACAGCGAAGCGAGTCGGCGGAGTGGAGCAGAGCCGGCGGCGAGGAGTTCGAGGAAGGGGCGGGGCCGGCGCGCGTGGGGCGTGGGAGCGGAAACTTCCGGACCGGATTGGTGCGGATGCGGACGCTTCGCCACCGGCTTAATTACTTTGTTAGTCGCCGCTAATTGACGGGATTGGGGTTAAAACCTGGGGTTAGTGGCGCAGTTTTCGCTGTGGTTAGTGCTAAGCGCGGACGGTAAATGGAGTTTTCCTCTGGGGACACGGCGATAGCCGGGGTAGGCGGTAGTAATAGCCGGGAAATGGAGTTTTTCGCTGACGAAAGTTGGCAAGTAGTCGCGGGGAGGGAGACGAGCGTTCATTTAGAACGGAGTTGACTCGGAGGGCTTTGGGCCTGTTTGGATCATTAGCGGACGGTAAATGGTAAATGGAGTTTTCCTCCGGGGACACGGCGATAGCCGGTAGGCGGTAGTAATCGCCGAGAAATGGAGTTTTTCGTTGATGGAAGTTGGCAAGTAGTCGCCGAGAGGGAGACGAGCGTTCATCTATAACGGAGTTGACTTGGAGGGCTTTGGGCCATCCATCGCAGCATCTTTAAGAGATTCTTTATATCTTCCTAATTTACATGAACAGAGATTTTGGTGAAAAAAATACACTCCAACAGTCTCTTCAATTGGATATTCAAATATAGGTATCATTTGTTCCAGATTTCTCGCTAGGCAAATATAGAGAGCGATGATGTGTAACATCCCAGATGTTAAAAAGCAATTAAAATTTGATCAAGAGCATCATAAAGCATAACTATCAAGTAATGTTTCATTAATGCATTTTATGTTTCAATAAGAGCATGTCCATGTTGCACATTTGATGTTTCATGTGTTGCTTTGTAATGTTTCATATGTTGCCTAAGTGATGTTTCATTTATAGCTTTGCTATGTTGCATATATAGAGTTTCATATGTTGCATATGTTGTTTCATATGTTGCATGAAATGTTGACAACAATACCTATTAAGGTTCTTTGTGAATTTAAATATGTGAAATTTTTAGACAAGTAAAACTTTGTTAATGTTAACTCTATTGTTTAAAGAGTGCTCTATAATATGGAATAAAAGTTTGTTAAATTTTTCAATTCAAAATATGTTTAAACTTGAGCTCAGAAATTGAATTCAATGTTGTTTTCCATACTTAGCCATTTCTGTCTGAGTCAATGAAAAACAGTGTTAAGTTCAATTTTGGGGGAATTATTAAATGAATTTTCATAAATAAAATTTGTCCAAACTTTGTTCTATTGCTTGGTAGAATGATTGACCTGTTATCATGTAATTGGTTGTTGTGTTTTATCATTGTTTGATCACTAATTAATTAGCCAAAGTTTGCTAATCAAACTGTTCTTCTCAAAACCCTAACTGAACTTTGTTTTCAGTTTCAAAGTGCATGTCTTCGACAATCAAAATCTTGCAAACCATCGAGAGTTTGATGTCGGTGCCTTAAGCAAAGATGGAGATCAAAGGTTGATGAACAACTTTGCTTAAGGGATCACATCACACTTAGTAGAGAAATCAAGAGACAGAGAGAGTGGAATTGGCGTGGTTAGGCTGCTACAGTAGGTCGGCAACAGCTGCCACGCAGAAGCTTGCCGTCGTGATCATTTTCGCTGCTCTCTCGCACGGGGCACACAGCTGCTTCGCCTCGATGCTTCGCAAGCAGGAGCTCGACATCCAGAAGCCATGCCCACGTTCTTATAACGCCGAGCCGGCCACCGTGCTCACCTTTCCCTCTATTCCGCCGCCGTCGTGCGCCTCTGCTTCGCCGGCGCAATTCATCGTGCCTGCTCGCCCTCTGCTCGATTGCTCGCGCGCGTAGTCTCGCCTTGCCGTTGCGCATCCGCTCGACCCACTCACGCCACCTCTCTCCATCAGATTCACCCTCGGCGATGTTTCCTGCCGCAGCGACCTCGCAATGGCCGCCGTGGTCACCTCGCCGTGGCCAGAGCATGTCAGAGCAGCTTCCTTCCTCCCAGCGTTTGTCCTAGCTCCCTAGTGATGCAGTGATGCTCACCAATTTTTTGTTTTAACCTCTACCACTCAGGTCACGCGGGAACGCCGTCGGTCCGCGTCATCGCCACTGCCGACAACCGCCTCTATTCCTTCCCCGCTTCGCCCGTGTGTGTCGACTAGTCGTGGTGAGTTTCCCCGTGCTTACCTAAACCCTAGCTAGGCCGGGCTCGCACCGAAGTACCATGTCCGACGCCACGCCGCTGTGCCGAGCGCCACTGAGCCGCCATGGCCGCGGCTGTGCTCAGCACGAACCCTAATTCGATCAACGGGTATGTAGGATCTCTGGTTAGCCTAGGCCTGTTAAAACAAAACTTGAACTTTTGTCAAATTCAACCCGTGGCACAGCCGCTCTATTCCTACAGCACTGTCGCGCTGTGGCACTACCGAGCCAGACAGCGGCACTGCGCACCTGCAGACAACTTCGTGATGTAATTCAAAATCTGTAAAAGGAAACTTGGATCCAATAGGTTATTGAGGTCCCTGCAGGTATATTAAACACAGATCGACAACAAAAAGTGGTAGGAACACCACACACAAGTAGATTGATCTTAAACCCTAGAAATTTCCTCAACAACAATACGAATCACAAGAATGTAAAACAAGCATAAGGTGACACAATGATTTATCCCGTGGTTCAGCTCGCCACTAAGGCTTGCCTAAGTCCACGCTGTTGAGGTTAGCCACTAAGGCTTAGGGCTTTCCAACCCTTCCTCATTCTTAAGTCAAGAGACTTAACTCTTAAGATGAGAGGTGAGTTTACTAGCTGTAAGAGTTGGTTACAAACCTCCTGGGACTGCCACACAAGTTGGCAAGCTCCACGGATGACGCTCTAGCCCGCTAGGAGCCAAGCTCCAAGAGTAACAAACACAACCGACGGCCAAAACGTGAACCAAGTGCTCTTTAGAGTTTAGAAATTAGTGGATCTGCTCTCTAATCGAGTTTGGCACATTTTTCTCTCAAGGATTGATGGAGAAATCAATGAAGAAGCTTGGGACCTCAAGGTCACCAACGAAGGAGAAAGAGAAGCACTTTTTCTATTTCTGCACAAGTTGAATGGTTGAGGAAGAAGAGAGAGACGTTGGGGAGGAAGGGGAACGGTATAAATACCCCCTAGCCTCCAATAGTCACTTAAGTCGTGGCAGTGCTGTGGCTCAAGTGCGGCAGTGCTGCTCTACGGTAGTGCCTCTCTTCATGTGTGGTACTGCCATACCAGGCAAGACAACAAGGGTAAGAGTGAAGTGCTGGCTATCTTGGGTATGAAATTGAGGATATATGTGTAGGATTAAGCACTTGGTAGCATATGTTAGCTTAAACATTGTGTCCCCCTTTATAGTACGGCTCTTCCTATACTCAAATTCAAAATATAAAAGAATTTAAACCTCCTTTAAATGTGAAGCCATCAACATTTGTAATTTGGGGGCTCCTCCATTCGTATAACATCCTCGATTATAGATTCTCTACTTGTCATCTCGATAAATCTCATTAGTCCTCTAATTACGTGGTCATTATAGAGCCTCAATTAGGGCTTGATTGCACTTTCAATCTCTCCTTTTTTATGATTAATGACAACCCAATCAGAGCTTATAAAAGATAAAAAAAAATACTGAGATTTTCGAGCCATGGGTGTAGAGCCCCCCCTAAATATGTGAATGAAGAATTTGAATTCTCAAATTAACATAAGAGGCCAAGATTCACATTTTTAGTGAAAGTGATGGAGCTCCCCCTACATCCATGCTCATGTGGGGTGCAGCACACTTGTGTCAAAAATATAGCCGTGATGTAACTGACAATTCATGCACAACAAGATAGTTGTGATAGCTAGGTGCGGTACTGCCGCTCATTAGCCGCAGCACTGTCGTAGAGCGGCACTGCTGGGCCTGGGTGCGGCACTGTCGTATTTGCTACAATAGCACAGATAAGAACAGGCAGCACACAACATGTAACACATATAAAAAAGTATATTCTAGCATAATTATATCACAAGCTACATCATAGATTAATACATGTCCATATCCTACACATATAGAGTACTTAGGTAGCATTATTACACATATAGAGTTTTGATCGCCTCTCAAACTCTCCACATAGCGAAGTCTACTCTCAACAGATAAGAACACGAAGCTCCTACTGTAGCAACCTCTCCATGGCGTTGAAAAAGTTGTTGACGCCTCTAATTTTCTTCCCCTTTGGCATAAAGCACCAAAAAAAGAAAAGAAGAAAGACCAACGAACTCACTCATCTTCTTGGATGTTCTCCCAATCGACATCATCGTCACCAACAACTCCACCAGCACCTGCAGCAGCCTCCTCACCACCATCATCATCATCATCATCATCATCATCGGAGGAGGACACCGCCGCCCTCCCTTGGCGATGGGTGGTTGAAGTGTGGCGCTTACACCTGGTGCTCCTCCTCAAGGACTGCAAGGTAGAGCTCAACGTCGTGTGAGGGTCAAGCTGCGGCTGCTCCTGCTACTCCTCCTCCTCATCCTCTGAATCTATGTCGGAGAGGCTAGGGAGGTTATCAAACCTTGGTGGTGACTGA